CCGTTGTTCTAACTGTCCGCCTTGATCCGAGAGAGATCCAGGCCTCGTAACGACTGCTCAAAAGCAAGTGAGGCGTGAAGCGAAACGCAAGTGTGCGGGGAACATAGATGAGCTGGCAGTCATCCCGTTGGCCAATTTTGCTCACAGGATGTTCCTGGTCCACGGGAGGAGCAAGGGAGGCCAACTACCGGGATTGCCAGTGGCCTAAAGCAACTTGTTCTGAAGCAAGCCCAACTTGCGCCTCCAGCCAGTCACAGGTTGGGCAAGGGTAGTAAACCGCAAGTCCGGCACCAGAGATGACTAGAATACCTGATTGGAAACTTTCTTCGCCACAGACTACTGCAGTGTTGAGGTGGGGGAGTTACTGCCTTGGGCGTTTCGAAGTCACGGACTGCATTGCGATGCACTGGAGGGGAAGCCTCGTCATTACAGTCGTCGGCCTCATTGCCCCGTTACAGAGTCGTCAGTATGAACAGCTGATGCGTGCAGCCATGACCGGCTCCGCGAACCTTTTGTGGTCTCGCCAGACCTGGTGAAGATCAGACTCGCTGGGTGTCAGCTTAATGTGGGCCGCGGAGGGCTTCCCCATACAATGGTGCTCAGGATCGATGACTGATCGCAGAATCCAGGGCGGAAGGGAGGCCCAGTAAGTGTCCATCCGATCCGCACTGGGAGTCGAGATGCTCTGCACAGCGATGCCTTGATCAGAGAGATCATGAGTACCAGCAGTGCCAGCTGTTGACGTACAAGGACGTGTCCTGTCTCGTCTGGAGGACATCCTGATGTTTACTGAGGTCATGGCCACGTCTCCCTAGTCACTACTCTTGTTCTCTGGAGCATTCTCTCTCGCCGGGTACCAGACCAGCTATCCCATCACGGCCCAATGCCTACGATCAGTACGAGCGGGAGATCCAGTACGCTTCTAAGAACCAAGGGCAAGACCAGATCATCGTGATCCTACGGCCTCAGCCCTTGCATATCTACCTCCACCATACCTCACTTACATGATTACTACACAGGATATCCTACCATAGGGGCCACTCCCAACACCTCATGGCCGGGCCGCCGTATTTACGTCTCACACCCACCTCGTCCATCATCCACACTTCCTTCGCGCTTACCATCGACTTCGGGGCAACTGCTCCGCCGAGCTCAATACCTTCGGTTAGACGAATATGAAGTTGACAACTGGGCAAGGAGGTAGACGACAACGATGGACAGGCTCGTGCTACGCACAGTACCACGGTCTCTCTTGTGAAATGAGAAGCGAATTGAGGGTGCCGCGCAGTGCGTACACAAACGGTGCAGCTACCTCAAGTATGCGAGGCTGCTACGATACTTTGATACGTAGAAAATCTAGACGGTGGGGTCATACGCTGTATAGCTCGCGCTCCACTTGTCGCTGTATGGGCATTAGGATGTTGTAGAGACAGACGTCTCGCATGTGTTGTGCGTTATGCGAGACGTCTGCCTCTATAACATCCCAATGCCCATACATCGATAAGTCTGAGCTTGGTCGTCTTTACGGCATATCTCCCCATCGTCTAGAGTGCACTGGTTGAAGATCGATGTCTTGAGCACGTGTACGAACAATAAACTAGCTTGTGAACAACCTTGAAAACTTCTACTGCCATGATGAAATACTTGTTGCGCAGCTGCTTATTTTCCTCCTTTTCCTCGTGGACTACTCCGTATGGAGACATAAAACACCACAATTTAGTACATGTATGTGACACTGGTATCTGGTAACGTTATTTGTTTTCATCTCTGGTGTTATCGCGCTGCACAAGCCTTCCGGAACTCGACGGTATACTGCGAGCGAAATTGTGTATGGCTATGGGTGCAGAGAGTTGACGTATACCGGATGCAATTAAATGGCACGGCGCAACAACGTGTCGCAGGAAGAAGGCGTATATATCAAAGTGAGATGACCAATGTCAGAATGATCACCTAAAGTGCTTATGACGTCGTGTAAAGCCTTGTGGTTGCGGTTTTTTGTTATTGTACTTGCCCTGAGATTTGACACATTGCAACCACAATCACACTTTAAAAAATATTCCGCCTCAACACCACACCCTGAACAGAGCATCGTAACTCATAAGTTCTCATATTTTCGCGCTCATATATACATCTCGACTTTTTTCTGTAAATAAAAGATCACTCCTTCGCCTCCGCCTCCGCCTCCTCAAACTCCACCAACGCAGTCCCCGCCTTGCACAAATCACCTTTACCATGAACAATGCGCTTCACGATCCCATGACTCGGACTCCTGATCACAGTCTCCATCTTCATACTCTCGATAACGACAAGCGCCTGGTCCTTCTTGACCTCCTGACCCTCTTCGACTTCCACTCTGAGGACCTTGCACGGCATGGGCGCGAGGACGCTGTTGGCCACGTCCTTGACGCCGAGCGCCTTCTTTGTCCACTCTGGCATGGCGAGTTTGAGGCGATACTGGCGGCCGAGGTGGAAGAGGGTGAGGCGGTCTTCGTCGCGGATGAAGGTTGTTGCTAGGCGGGTGTGGGGGTAGAAGGATGTGAGTGTGTTGTTGGAAGGGGAGAAGGTGGATGTGACGTTGTTGTATGTCTTGTCGCCGACGCTGATGTCGAATTGCTGGGGGCTGGTTTGTCGGATGCTGACTTTTGTTGCTGTGGCTTCGCCTTTGCCGTCGGCGGGGGTCTCGATGAGGTTGAACTCGCGTTGTTGGTATGAGCTGCTGAAGCCGAATCCTACGGCTGTCACGGGTGGCCCTGTCCATACGTCTCCTCTCGATGATGAGATCTCTTGTAGCGCGAGGCCAAGGGCGGCTTGTGCGTAGACTTCTGGTGCTGGGGCCTCGGGTGTGAAGAGCTCGGCGTGGTGTTTTTGGATGTATCCCGTTTCTACATCGCCGGCGACGAAGTTGGGAGATACGCACATGCGCTTGATGAACTCGATGTTTGTTATAGGGCCGGCGACTTCGTAATCCTCTAGGGCGGCCCGCAGCTTCTGGATTGCAGCCTCGCGGGTCGGGCCTTGAACGATGAGTTTGGAGATCATGGGGTCATAGTGAGAGGATACTTCGTCACCAGCGATGAAACCAGAGTCGATACGAACGGTGGATGTGGGTGTTGGGGTCTTCAAGTGAAGCAAGAGACCAGAATCGGGAATGAAGTTCATGTCTGGGTTTTCGGCGTATATGCGCGCTTCGATGGCATGACCCCTCTCCTTGATCCTCTGTTCAATCTCCTGTTGGGTAAGAGGTAGCTTTCCACCCTCAGCAACGATAAGTTGCCATCTCACAAGGTCCTCACCAGTCACCATTTCTGTGACAGGGTGTTCGACTTGCAATCTTGTGTTCATCTCCATGAAGAAGAATTCGCCCGTCTCGTTGTCAAAGATGAACTCGACTGTGCCTGCTCCTTCATATCCGACTGCAAGTGCAGCTTGTCTCGCCTTCTCCCAGATATCCTGCCTGATGGCCTCGTCCAGATGCGGTGCTGGCGACTCTTCGAGGATCTTCTGATGCCGGCGTTGTATGCTGCAGTCTCTCTCTCCAAGCGCAACGCAGTTGCCATGCTTGTCGGCGAAGACCTGGACTTCGATGTGGCGAGGCGTGGTGATGTACTTCTCCACTAGCATGACTTCATCGCCGAAAGAGTTCCGCGCCTCTGACTTTGCCGACGCGAGTTGGTCGAAGAACTCGGCTTCGGTGTTGACGATGCGCATACCCTTGCCGCCGCCGCCCTTGACGGCTTTGAGGAGTACGGGGTAGCCGATGCTCGCGGCCTGCTCTTTGAGGTACGCTGGATCTTGTTCGGAACCGTGGTAGCCTGGGATACAGGGAACGCCGGCTTTGGTCATGATGTCCTTGGACTCACTTCTATGTGTTAGTCACGACGTCTACAGCATGTGCTGATCACCTACCTCTTGCTACCCATGGACTCGATTGCTTGCCATGGCGGTCCGATGAATGTGAGGCCAGCGTCTGTACATTTCCTTGCGAATGTAGGATTCTCGCTCAGCTATCTTCCTGTTAGCCTTATTCCACCTCATCGTGTACATGAGCTCTTACAAAGCCGTAGCCCGGATGTATGCCCTGGCATCCTTGCTCTTTCGCGATTTGTATTATACGGTCTCCATCAAGATATGCGGAGGGGTCCCCCAGGTTTACGGCGTAGGGCGAGCTCAGCGCATGTTGCGATCGAGCATCTGGGTCGGTAAAGAGGGTCGTGGTCTTGATGCCGTATTCTGAAGCTGTTCTTCCAACTCGTCTGCAACCGTGTTAGTTCTAGATTTGTGGATTTGGTCATGAGGCTCACAGTGCAATCTCTCCGCGATTCGCTATGAGGACAGAAGTAAGCGGTTTGGCAGCGGGCGCAATGGTAGAGTTGTAGCGGGCGCCATTGGTAGCAAGAAGCTGGCGCGAGAGGTGAGTGGACTTTCTAAAGGCACGCATGGTCACAAATGGGTATATGGAGCAAAGATATTGATTGAACAGCTACAGAAGCACTTTGTTCGTGGCATGGCGGAAGGAAGTTTGGGGAGCCTCGGTGTTGTTAAGCCGCGTGGAGCCGTTCGCGGGGAAGGCGCGCTTCGTGTTTACTGTAGCAAACAGATGCGGAAGTTGCATCTCGGGCCCCTCGATAGGGAAGGAGCATAAGGCGGCATCTGGAGTTGCACGGGCAGTCACACATGCCGAGTTGCCTTCTCTCCGCTGGTCTTGACTCCCTCGAATTGGTGGCTTGGGGTTGCGCTGATGACCACCGTGCACTCAGGGAGGAGAGGAGCCCTCTGCACGCCCGCGTCATACCCTTCCTCACCCCGACTGCGCGACCTCGACTCGACCCTACGCCCCAACCACGCAGAAGCGCAATCACGTCGTCACCTCTGCCATCACCTCTATCATCACCCCACCTTTCGCGCCACGAAACTGTACGGTCGCGCATCGCATCGCAAACGACGTCCTCGACCGCACTCAGCGCATGTGATCGCATACACGACCACCGGTCCTACCCAACATGAGCGATTACGACGATGACTACGATGATTACGAAGGCGACTTCTTCTACGTCGAAGACGAATACATGGCCGCCGACGACCTTGCAGAGCACGCCGTCGCCTCACCACCACCAGCAACATGCGGCGATGAGGACATGGAAGACGACTGGGACCGCTTCGACTACTTCAACGACCTCGAGTACGCGTCGGATGGCTACGATGATACCAAGTTTCAAGCGCTTGATGTAAAGGGCGCAAAAGCAGGCCTGAAGAGGAAGCGGGCAGTGAAGAGCGCACCAGCCAGGAAGAGATTGGCCAAGGATAGCGTGAACACACAGTCAGAGACAACACCGCTGGGACATTCGCCTATAGTTTGGCGCTCACAGGCGAGCCGTGGAACCAAGCCCAAGACCCTCGACGACAACGCGCAACCATATGCTTTGTTCAAGGACTGGAGGGAGAAGCTCACAGACATACCAGAATGGGCGAAAGGCTCACCACCGAGCTCACCAGGAGCGCTGTCTTCACGGCCAGGCAAAGGAAAGGCAAAAATGGCCTTTGTCACGGAGCCCGCCTCGCCTCCATACGATGATGACGAAGACATCGACGACGGCATGGATCAGGGCGAAGAGGGCATACCACAGGACGCGCTATTGGCAGCGTTGCAACGGCAACTCGCTGCTACTGGCGGACCGCTCACCGGTATGGATCCCCAACAGCTGCTCGAGTTTGCGATGCGCATGGCAACAGACAATGACGCGGGTGATGATATCGCAGGCGAGATGGCAGAGGCAATGCTAGGTGGGGAAGATGATGAAGATGACGCAGAAGCAGAAGAAAAGCTGCTCTCGTGGGTAGCCCAACAGCGCAACGGGAAGAACGGAGAGACCACTGCGGAAGAAGAGGACGACACGATGGAAGAAACAACGCAACAGCCCCCATCACCGCCTTCATCCGACCTCAAACGCAGCGTTCATGCTGCCGAGACCAACACAAACAAGTCCTCTCTTAAGCGGAAGGCAGAAGACGAGCCCACCGTCGAAGGCTCTACAAAGGTGCTCAAGAAGAAGGCAACACGGTCTTTCGATGCGCCCACAGCAGCAAGTCAGGCCAAAGCCGCTCCATCCCGGCCCACGACACGATCAAAAGCTGGGAAGCGCAAGTGAGCACGGCCTGTGTGGTTAATCACGGACAGTAGGAGCATTGGCTTGCGTCACTGGCATATGTTTGACTACGGATGTCCTCTTCCTTTTTCCTTTCTTGCATACGACATTTGTATACTACTTCCACGAAGAACGAGATGACATGAGATATGGGCGAATTGGCTGGCTATCTCCGCAGCCTCTTTGCGGTATGCAAGGCATGTCGCTTTCAGATATGGATAGCATAGCTTAACCTTCTCACCAAATGGCATGAGACTCCGCCGATGAGTGTCCTATGGACTTTCCGTATGAGTGAGAACTGGATCTGGCAAGACCGAACTTCGCCAGCGTTGTTTACAGAGATTCTGAACAGTCTGACAAGACAGGATTTGCTGTTTCTCACAAACCCCATGCTTCATAGTACACAACTATTCGCCTTCCAACGATCAAAACACCTCATCTAGAACAACATGCCCAGCTCATTAGAATCAAACCCCATACCCTCAAACCCCAGCCCCTGAGCATTCCACCCCATATCCAGCGGCAAAAACCCATTCCACAACGCCGCATCATCCGCCGGCGCATTCCCCCCACCCCCACCCACCGCAAACTCATTAACAGCGCCCAAATCTGTCCACCCAAAATCGCCCATCTGCTCCGTCAGCGCCGGACTCTCCCCCGTCCCATTACTACTCGCCTGCGGACTCGCCCCCACAATAGGATGTTGAGGGAACCCATTCTGGTCAACCGGATTACTCGCAATATGCGTGCCTGGGTGGCGGAAAGAAGAGCGACTCGCCTTGTCCTTCTTTGGTACTTTTGCCCAGAGGAGCTTGAGGAGTTGTGAGTAGCGGGAGCCGGGGTGCTGGATGCCAGCGCCGGCTCCTACGGCACTGCGCTCGAGGCGGGCGACGGTTTCGTTGATCATGGCGCGGATGGCGCGGTCTTCGTCTGCGCTTATGACGCCGGTGCAGCGGGCGCGGTAGAGGAAGACGCCGGCGTAGACGAGGTAGAGGTAGTATCTCAGTGGCATGAAACGAAGGGAGCGCTCTGGATCGACAAAGTTGTTCACGGTTGTGAGAATCGCTTTTGCGGCGTCGAGACCCTCGTAGATGAAGCGCGCATCGCCTACTGCGCCGACGTTGTTGACAAAGACGCGCTGGGGGACTTGCATGCGCCCGTTTGCCATGGTGGCTGGTGTACCGACTACGGGGTCGGTGGATGTAGATGAGGAGGGTAGTGCGCGCAGGACGGTGGCTTGGAAGGCGAAGGCGTTGGTGTAGAGACGGAGGTAGTCGTATGACATGAGTAGACATGCTTTGAGCGGTGGAGAGCATGTCAATGTGCCCCAGACGCTCTTCCACCCGTATATCGCTGACCGGAAATCGTCGATGAATTTGATGTAGCTGCCGCTCATCTGCGATCGGAAACTCGAACTGGGGTTTGAATACAGAGTATCGTGGACATTGCTGAAGAGTTGCGTGAGTTCGAGGTTTGCCTGGAAGATGGAAGCATGGTCCTCTTCGTTCGGGCTCTTGGGGATCAACGATGGGTAATCCTCTCTTCGCAGCGTTGTCAAAGGCCCCGGTCCACGCGACCAGAACGCCTTCCCGATTCTGATGCTGATGTGGCGGTCAGAAACATATGCCGCCGTCCAAATGAGACGCTTGCGATGATGGTCCGGATCCTTGCCCTGATCCACGAAGCGGAACGAGTACCGATCGAGAGCAAGGAAGTACGCGATCCTCAGAGCAAGACCAACATGCATCCAGCTCTCCTTATCTTCCTCGCCCTTGCCAACCTTGCCAGAACCACGCTGTGTATACGGCGCCCACTCAGCGAGCAGAAGGAGAGCCTCTACTGCTTCGATTCCGGCATCGCCTCCCGCGGCCAGCGTCGAGACAAGGCTCTTCATGTGTTCGGAACAGGCTTCGTAGATGTGCGGTTCGTCGACGAGGTCTTTGGAAGCGATGAGGAGGATGGCTGTGAGAAGGTGTTTCTCGTTGTTCACCATGTCGGATAGACGCGATGTTTCGAAGGCGTGCCCTGGCGCGAGTGGGTAGTATGGATGGTACTGCTGTTGGAAGCGTACGAGCAGCTGGCACAGAGAATGCACGGTGAGTATTCCTCGGTCTAGTAACGGGTACGAGAAGGACAGTGGCGCGGGCATGCTGAGGGATGACCCTCGCGCATGTCCTATGCTGTTGTTTCTACCCGTCCCGTTGATCTCGTCATTCGAGCTCGATTCTCCAGCGACCCTCGCCAGTATACCCAGCGCATCCGACGGGTTCTGCAGATTTGAAAAGGGCAGTTCATCGGTATTCGAGGAGCCAGAGCGTGATGCTTGGAGCTCTTCGCCGAACGGCTGTGCGCCTGGGTCTTGCGACCATGTTGTACCGAGATTTCCCAGCGTGTGGAAGCTTCCTTCGGGTGCGGTATTCGCCAGCGATGGGAGCGGCTGTTGTGGTAGCGATTCAGATTGCGACTGCGATTCATCGACGCGTTTCTTCTTCCGCTCGCGTCTTCCGCCGCGGTTGCTGCCGCCTAGTACGCATTCGAGGTTGTCGCGCTTGCATCGAAGGCATGGTATTGAGTTGTCGGAGTCGCTGCAACGCCACGTTAGAACTACATACGATATGCACGCACATTCGGTGTCGCGACAAGAGCTGTCCACGCGCAAACTTCAATCCTAGCCAGCTTGAAACCACCGACGCGCGCAAACAAACAAGAAACCTCAGCCACTTACAGCAAACACCGACTCTTCCTCTTCCTGCAGTTCAAACACGCAATCTGCGTCCTCTTGATCTTCGAAGCTTCGTCCTCATCCGGGTTGGTGGCCGCCTGCGCGCCAGCAGGCTGTTGTGGGGCATTTGCTTCCATGCCTCATCTCGAAGCAATGCGTCGTGTCGGTGTTTGAAGCTGTCGGGAATTGTGGGCACCTTAACAAAACGCGGGGACGGCAACGCTGGCATCGGTTATTGCTGGTATCGGGCCGAAGTCGTGAGCGGACATGGGCTTTTCTGTTCTCAAGGTCATCCCATGGTTTGCGGATCGTGGCAAGGGTTGGATATGGTTTGCTGATCTTCAATATCCAGCTGTAGGGGAAATGTAGTGATCATCATGGTATTTGGTGGGCTTTGGTGTTCTTGTCCGCCCAGGTAAAGGTAGGTTCGTGATCGCGCACCGCCGGCCCCTGACCCAACCACGTCTGCTCAGTGACATGTAATTCCCCACTTTGACCGTAGAATGCTTAGCTCTCCGGCCCAAAGATCGAAAACCACTTCTTCATCCTCGTCGTGGCGTCTTGTAAAATTCAGACCACGCAAAAGTGTGTTTTCTGGCTTGGTACATATTTTGGTCTTTTTGGCCAAAGTTCATCAAGCAAGGCTCGTTGGTGTAGTTGGTTATCACGTCAGTCTAACAAAGGCCCTCAAAAGCCCGTTAGTACACTGAAGGTCCGGAGTTCAAACCTCCGATGAGTCAAAGCCTAAGGGTTTCAGTGAGGCCTTCGGGTCATTTTCTTTTTGGCCAGTCTAAGCTTCTGCTGTTTGAATGTTGCGCGTTAGCAGATTTTTTGTCCATTTTTGACTGATAGGGGGAACATCGTTACACAGATTTCAATGTAGGTAGGATACAAGTCGGTACTGCTCTGAACTATAATATCCCGTATCCTCCTCTTTTGCACTATTCTTTTCGGACGTTGGAGACTTGACAAACGTGAAAGAACGGTTGCACTTTCGCAGTGAATCTGACATCTGAGTTCCATGTGTATCAGCGTTCTCTTGTTTTCGTTTAGCACTACATCCGGTGGTACACCATCCGAAGACACATCATCCGAAAGGCACAACATCCGAACGTCGCATGCAAGGCACCGATCTTGCTCAGATTGGCAGGCTCCAGTTATATAGCCGCTACTGTTCTGGTTATCGCATTTTCACATGCGCGTAGGTAGCTGTCTATTCTTTGACAATCGTCGCTATCGCGTCTATGCCCCAAGTCGCGTGCTATGTGCAATATCACAACAACCGTCAACTACAGGAACACGACTCAGTCCTCGTCATATATCACCAAGACACGTATCAGTACATGCGATTTTTGCCTCGATCTTTACCACGCTAGACCGTCGTCGGCCCTATAGCGGCGTAGGTGACGCTCTAAGGATAATCTTGGAACCTTCCACGATTAGGACCCATAGCTTTCGAAATCAACCGGTAGTAACCGACGGTAACTCACTAGGTGATGAATAGGCGATACAGACGTGTGATTTGGTAAGGCAGTCTGGTGGCGATTATTCAGCTTTCTGTCGGATGGTTACTACAGTACAACAGGTGTGATATAAAGACGTAGCTGCTCGCGATCGTTACTCATATCTCATCACTACAACATCAATTTCGAGGTTATCAATTCTACCCTTAGATCGTAGTTGAAATCTACATCGTCTTGCTGTCCGCAAAAAGAAACATTTCCATCCAGCAAGGAACCTACACCAACTCCAAACTACGTAACGAACCCCATCCCACACTCTCTCAGCACCTACCAATTCTAATCACTCACCTCACAGACAATGTCCTCCGCCCTCCTCCCCCACCTGACCCGCTTTACGGAGTTCATAAACAGCGGCGACGTCGCCATCGGAAAAGAAGTCATCTCACCTAACGCGACCTTCCACGTCCCCTTCGGCGGCCCTCCTCTCCAAGGTCTTGACGGCTACCTCCAAATCCTCGGCATGATGCGCAGCGCCTTCCCCGACATCCAATGGACGATCAAAGAAACCATTGCCGAGGGCGACAAAATCGTGTGTCGCTTCGAAACGCGCGGTACACACAATGGACCTTTTATGGGTGTTGCTCCTACGGGAAAGAGCATTTGCATGACAGCGCTCAACATCTATCGATTTGAGAATGGCCAGATTGTGGAGGAGTTGGGACAGCCGGATATCTTTGGACTGATGGTGCAGATTGGTGCTATCCCTGTGCCAGGACCTTGATGGTTGTGAAATAGAGTAATGAGAAAAGATGTCAAGG